TATACTGTGACTTTATTCAACACGCTATACTGTGACTTTATTCAACATCCTATACTATGACTTTATTCAACATCCTATACTATGACTTTATTCAACACGCTATACTGAGACTTTATTCAACATCCTATACTATGACTTTATTCAACATGCTATACTGTGACTTTATTCAACATCCTATACTATGACATTATTTGAAGACTAACTTTGACCAGTGGCTGATTTGAGCTCTTTGTAATACAGTTTCATCATATACTGTAACAACTATGTGTTGACCCGTTGCTGTTAGATTTTGTATTAAAGATGCAGAAAAAGTCAGAGGCAGACATATTTTGTGTTGATATCTTTATATTGAAATTCATGAAGTATACACAATGCATCCTACACTATAACAATTTCCACACGATAATATTTTTTGTTGGATGATAAAGCTACGTTTTGGCATTTAGTTAACCAAACAGCAGTCTGACTGAGAAGCTTTGAGCAATATAAACATTAAAAACGTAAAACATTGTGGATTAATAGCACGACAGCAGGTTTGTAGGTACAAGGAGGCAAACAGTTATAGTTACACAGTAGAAAATCATAAACAAAAACTCAATATTCATTTCTTTTTTTAACGTTTGTTATATACAACCCAGTGCCTTTAGAGGGATGGCCCTTTATTTCTTCATCCGGACCTTTTCTCTGACATCACCAGCAGATTTCAGCCAATCCGATTCCTCCTTCAAGTTTGATGCAATTTACAGTAACTGTTCATTTCAGGCTGGCAAAAGAAGAAGAAGCTGTTTTTTTCGTCTTCAGTCTCTAATCTGATCCGTGAAATATGAACAGAAATTAAAATATTGTTGAGCCCCCTTTATAGTAAGCTAAATATGAAGACACAAACACACACACACACACACACAAGCACTCTTCCAACCGCCCCTTTGTCCTGAACGCATTGATCAACTTGAGACATGAATTCATCAAGGCGTTGGAAATGTTTCACAAGGATGTTTACTCCATGCTGGTTCGATAAAGTCGATCCATTCCTGTCGATTTTTTTGGAAGCTGCGAAACGCTTGTGCTGCGGTTCCTGCTCCACCTCATCCCAACGGTGCTGCCCCTGGAGACGAGTGCAGGCACCCGGAACAAACACGTTTCTGTCATGTAACTGCATCCATCTCGAGATGAGCCGTTTGTCACACTGCCAGGAAAAGATGCACCGGGACATCATAAGCCAAAAAACACTCCTTACCATTACATCAGACTCTACCTTTGACTCAACACTGGATACAAGCTTATTGTGCCAATTCATCATTTGCTGCATCATATTCCAATTTCACGGTTTTGGCAATCGCATGCCTACTGCTGCCTCATCTTCTTGTCCCTAGCTGTCAACAGCATCCACTAAAGTCAAGCCAATCCAATCCAATCCTCTGTCCATGTGGCCTTCCTGTTAGTTGTTGAAAACCTCTCTTACAGATTAAGCATGTTTCGTTTGCTGACTGCATTGCATTTCCTCTCCATTCTGTATAAAGATAACCAAACCGCCTTTCAGAGCCGACATCTTGCCCTTTCTAATATTTAAAGGTGTGTTCAAGTGCAGCAGGAATTAAAACGTTCTGTGTATGTGCGTTTGTCCTTTCCATTTTGACTCTACACCGTTTAGGGTTTGTAACCAGCGTTGCACCACTCTGGGGTTCAACAGTGAGCTTGCATACATACATGTATAATACATAATGTAAAATACATAATAATAAAGGTTTGCATGGTTTGGAGTTTTTTTTTTTTTTTAGTTTCTTTGTGCTGGGACATCCAAACCTCAACCATGTTTTATGTCTGACATATGTGAGGAAGATGATGCTGCTTTAACAGCTTTTAATGTTTCTGTCCTTACTGTAAATGATATATTCATATCCACTGGTAACATCTGTATCAACCTTCAGATCAAGGCTTTGTCAGCAAACTCTTCTGTAGCATCGTTCATATACATATTTGAACATTAAAGGACTTACATGCATGTACACACACAACCTTAGTGCTTTTTTTACAGTCACTCACACTCACACACACACACACACACACACACACACACACACACACACACACACACACACACACACACACACACAGAAAAAGGAAAAGGTATTGTTCAACGTAAATTAGAAAAGCTCAGTTTTTGAAAAGGTGTCTTAGCTCTCGTACCTAAAACAACGGGTTTTACAGAGACTGGCTGGTTTGTGCCAGTAGTGAAGAGGGAGGCACGCAGAGCAGCAAGGGAGGACGGAGTGTTCGATCCTCTATCCCGTCAGGACAGTAACAGTTCAGATGTCCTACCTTGCTTCTGCGGGTCATTACTATCAGTAGTTCAAAGAGAAATAAACGGAGCACGGCCTTTTTTTTTTTTGTTTTTTTTTTTTTTACACTTTTCTTTCTGTGACCGGTGGAAGCACATTGTGTCTCTGGGGGAAAGTGGTAGCGTTGTACTTCATCTTATGATTTTTAACCCCTTCGCATCAGCACATTTGTGCCGTAGTCATTCGGGGTGGAGAGGAGAATAAATGGATTAGATCAGGAGCGGCGGGAACAGGGAGACGGAAGGACATTCTCAATAAGAGGACGTAGTCCGGGTGAAACCGGACGATGGGCTTATCAGGTTAGGTGGTCTCCTTGCCCTGGGTCCCAGTCACGGTCTTGATAGAGCTGAGCGTTCGGTTGAACCAGGTCTTCTTGGCAGCCTGCACTTCGTTGATGGCCAGACCCAGGTGGTGCTCTAGATCCTGGTTGAATAGAAAAGACACTATCACTAGGACAATCACAGAACAGGGTCGACACAGGTCTGCCAATAAATAACAAAATGAACCGATTTTTTTTCGTGTTTTTCAGGAGTGCAGTTTGATTGAACTGTGTTAGTGTACCTGGATTTTGCACTCAGCCTCCACAAGCTGCAGTTTGGTCTGAGCGAGTTCCAGCTCCATCTCCCTCAGCTGGCTCTTCAGATCCTCCTTCTCCTCATCGGTCTCCTCCGTCCCCCCGGCTGATGCTGAGGTCACAGCGGCCCGCACGCGGCCTTCTTTGTTGAAAAGGCTGCTGCACTTCTCACAACCTTCCACTTTGGACTAGAAATGGATGGATGAGTGAGTGAGTGAGTGAGTGAGTGAGTGAGTGAGTGAGTGAGGTTAGAGAAAAACAAGGTAACACTGGCTTCTATACCTAATATACCATACTGTAGCTTTTTATGTGGTACAATACAATTACTTTTTAATGATTTTTCCCAATATACAATACTTTTACAATGATTCTTTTGACATACTACACAATTTATCTACATAAAATGTTATGATTTTTTTTAGGCATACTACACTGATATCTTTGGGACTTTTTTATGCTGTATTGTGACATTTTAATAACATTTTGCAACATACTCCACCTATTGCTTTTAAATAAAATTTTTATAAATGAAATACTATGACCTTTTAATGAAAGTTTGACCTACCTTACTATGAATTTATTTACTATACTATGACTTTTTAAATATAATACACTATCATTTTTGTATGGCATATTATATCACTTTTTGTGAGATACTGTATATTTTCAATGACAAACTATTATACAAATCATTTTGGCAAAGTATTACATTTTTTATGCCATTTATTGGTAGTATATATTTTATGGCGCGCAATCCTATCTTTCACCATCTTTTTTTATAGCATACTATTCTATGACATGATCTCAAAATGTAATGATCTGTAGCCATGTCATCTATCTTTCTGCAGTAGAGATATTTGTATAACCGGAGAAAAGACAGCGTTCTGCTTAGTAGCTGAAGCATGGCAGCTCATTAGTGTAGACGACCAAACACACCCAACGATGCTTTCCCTCCTCCGTCAGGGCTGCACTCCACCCTGCCCTTCCTGCAAAGACTTCTTTTTGGGTGCCCTGGTACGTAATGACCTATTTGTCACAGAGCGTCTCTGCAAGCAGCTACAGAAAATCACTGCGAACGGAGACAAACTGACTTACTTAAGATTCACTGCAACTCTTTGATCTTCTAGTGTTACCTCATCTAAGTACCTATCGCTGTGGGAGTGGGACGCTAAACAACAGTGGACTACGACGGTTGAGATATTCCCTCAGAATTGTTATTTCATCCCACTCCCACATTTCATTTCAATCGTGATCGTACACAACGTCTCTATGCTCATCACTGCAGAAGTGGATGCGAGCGTTAATGAAGCTGCACAGCGCCGAAGCCGAAAGTGTTCCTGTCATCACTTTAAATGGAATGAGTATGTCAGTACATTACACAAACATTTCTAATTAACACTGTTGTAAATTACAATTATATAGTATTCACTGTTCCCCTACCTCAATTATAATTGTGATTGCCGACAGTTATATTGCATTTGCTGCACCACTGTTATTGAATAATAAAAAGGATAAGAACCAATAAGATGATGGACTTGCAGACATTGCGCACAAAGAGAAGCCCGGCTCCGTCCTCTACAGAACTTATCCGTGGTGCAGTAAAGCTTTTGTGTGTCCTTTAGTGAGTCCTTGGGCCGCCCTGACAGAGCTCTCTGCCAAAATGGCCTTTCGCCCAACTACAGTCTAAACAAACAGCTTCTCAGCCAAGTGTGCGTGTGCTGGAAGTGAGATGCCTGGCCCTGCCTCATTGGCCTAACTCCTCATTTACGTGTGCGAGTGCACACAGCAGTGTTCCGAGGTGTGTATGTTTGTGTGTAAAATTCACCCGGATTTTCTCCAGTTCTCCTCGGTTGGCTGTCTGTTGTTTCTCCAGTCGTTCACTCAGCTGGGAGCAGATCTACATGAACCACAGACGGAGACAGTTGTTCAGAAAGTGTGTTACAGTTACGGTGTTTTCATCAACGGGATCAACAATTCACCTTAATTTCACCAGTATTGTTCCACTGAGAAAGATGATAGTTTTTCTGATTATATTTCTTCTCTCCTGAACACAACCTTGTTTGTGTTGATTGGTAAATCAGTCTCTGTGGCAGAGACTTCGTCCTCTTCCTCTTTAGTCTATCAGTGATGTCATGAGGTACTGCTTTTACAGCAGGGCTCACCGGATGTACACACATGTGCATGCTTACATATACCCAATCTCTTTTTCTCCTCCTTTTATACCTATAACCTAAAGCTACAAACACGCTGACAGACATGCAAACACACACACACACACACACACACACACACACGCGCACTTGTGCTCTGGCTTGCAGACGAACAGAGAAATCGATGGGACATGACTCATTCTAACGGGAACATCGGGTCATCCCACCTCTCTGTAGACAGACTATCTGTCTCTCTATCTGCTCCTGCTCTCCCCATGTCTATCAGATTCCCTGTGGCATGTACCGCACGTCTTTATCCTCCTTCCTATAGAGATCAATCTATACGTCTATCTGTGTATCTTCAGCCAAGCAGATATCCATCTCTCTCCTCCTACACGTCTTTTATCTTTCCCTCCTGTCATCCTCTCTTTCATTTACTTTCAACTGCCGTTACTGAACCCATCTCTCTACCTTCCCTTCATCACGACTGATTACTTATCCCTCTGCTAGCAGCCTTCAATCACTTTCCTCCCCAACATGTTAAGTGGGTATTTTCATCTCTCAATGTTTTCTAGAATTTGTAGAACTTCTGCATAAGATGGGGTAAATGTCAGTCTACAGTCAGGAAGCTAGTAATGGATTATTTTGCTTATTCAAATTTAGGATTCTTGATACCGTTTTTGACAATTAAATGCTACTTTTAATTGCTTTATCATTCTAATAACATATACTGCTTTGAACTAGAATCAAACAATTGGAATGCAATGCTCAATCAGAAACATTTCCGAATATTCTAGTGAGAAAAGTGTGAGAAATAAATTTAACGCTAACCGGTCCTCAGAAACACAAGCAGTGGCACATGTCACTGTCCCTCGCAAGTACCCGGGAGGCCTGAGTGTATCTCAGGCTCCGCTCCTACAATACGCCACTCGACTGTTTCTAGCTTTACCATTAACGGATGTTTCTCTGTCCTCGTGGGCTGGAGAGGCTATTAGCAAATGAAGCCTTTTTTTTGGCTCTAATCCTACAAAAAAAAGAAACATGGCGTTCACAGCCACTGAAATATGAAAATGCGATTTGAAGTATAATTTGAGTTATCTGGGTTGGAGAACAATGCAGGCTATTTTGGGGCATTCCTCAACATGCCAATCCCAGAGGATCAAATGCTGCTGTCTTCCCTCTGCTCTCTCTCTGCCACAGACTTGTGTTCATTTTCTCCCTCTCGCCATCCATCACCCTCTTTATTCCCTGTCACAAAAATAACAAAGCTCCATTTTCACAGTTCACTCTGCTCAGCTGCATGCCAGCAATCTGAAGTCTGCTTTCACCCACAGAAACACACACAACCCATCACTTCTCAGATCTGCTGTCAATTCCAATCTGCTGCCAATATTTTTAGTCTCAGGTGAAGTTAAGATCCGTTTCTAAATTAGTCCTCTTGCTATTTCCGTCTGCCTCCGCAGGGAGCTGGATTGTTGCATAATGATCGTAATAGTACTTGATCTCGGTAGGTTCATATTTAAGCATTAAGTGACAGGTTGAGATCCGAGAGGATGAAAATCACCGTGAGAGGAATTTGGAGAAACAGGAAGTCAAAAATATGCTCACAGGCTCAGCCATCAAAGGCTCTGGGTTCAGCTTAAGGCCATTTCGTAAAATTAGATGTTTCTAGATGAATGACTGGAAACAGATTGCTCTTATATTATTTTGGAATATTTATGGATAGTCCTGCCACGGTAATGGCTCGATCAGAGCTTAGTTCTGTAAAGACAAGACAAGTAAGGGAAGATGAGAGGAAAAGAGATGCAAACATTTATTTAAATGTATTTACTTTCCATCATCTTCTCGGCATACACGTGTTACATACTGTCTGCATACTTATTAGGATATACTTATATAGATTTGTATAATTGTATATGCTTGGGCTGGTGGGAGAGGGAAGGTTAAGTGGATTGTAGAAGAGGTTGTGATGTTGGATCAAAAACAGAACATCACAAATAAAGTGTTCAAAAACAAGGAATCAAGAAGGTTCCGCCACGGTTTACAGTTTCACTTCTCTGAAATGTACTTGTGAGAAAGACACACTTCAGTAATATGATTTAAACAAGACTCACAGTACCGTACATGCTACACAGATTCACTATACATACCTGCTTATATTCTCCAATAATCGAGCCGTTCTTCTTTATCTCGGATTCAGACTTATCAAGCTCTCGTCTGCACATCTCCTTCAGCTGTGGGAAACAAGCAAACACACGTAGCGTTAGGCCGTTGTAGGGCAGAGAGGGCCCGAGGACAGAAGCCGGGTCAGAGGCCCCAGAGACCATGTGACTGCTGCTATGACAAGTGAAGAAGACAAGAGAAAGGAATTGGCAGACTTTGAGCTCAGGGGCGAAGTCACACCCTCAACACAACCTCTATTCAAGCACATAAATCATTCACAACTACACATTGGGAGGACAGCACTGAACACACATGGGAACAGAAGGCAGCAGGTCCGGCCTTCACCTCTGAGGGATTCTCCATTGAACTCAAGAAAATCGACACTGAAGATGAACGGACATTCTTTGACATTGGAGGTTTGACCCGGATGACAAAGGAAGCCCTTGGAGGTTGTAGTTTTTTTGTTTTCCTTCAGTCGTATTACATAGACAGAGGCCATACAATAACATGCAGACAGGGAAGAATGCCGTGGACAGATTACATGATAAAGTGGTTCGGAGACACACAGACCTGCTGCATGTGGAAAGGTGAATATACAGAGAGAGACAGAGATAAATACTTGTGCTTCACATTTGCTGTCCGTCTAAAGGGAATCTACTGGCTTATAGTTTGACTAACACGCAATATAAATCCAGCTTCACTACCTCTGCGTGCAGCAATGGAATGGTCAGTACTGCTACCTCCGAAAAAACATAAATTACAGCCTTGTTTTCAAAGAGCAGTATTATAAACTAAAAGATATGCCAACATGCAAAGAGTCCCATCACCCACAGAAAGAGACCGTATCAGTAAAATCAGCCATCGCGATGTTCGATTGGAGTAAGAACCTGCAGACTATTGGCTCCATCTTTAAGATAGTCTTTGATCATTCATAACCTGTCACATTAATATCGCATACGTCCTACTAGTCTCCATCTTGAGCCCAGGGACAGGCGAAGTAAGCGGTGCCATTTCACAACAGCTCTGCTCATTCTCTTCACCCGAGAATTTGTGTTGCAATAGTGCTGACACTTTCCTACCATCTGTAAGCCTGTGTGCCACACGGGATATTAAAGAAAAACATATATGCAGCTGACGTCTAAAATATAGACATCAGGCTGAGAAGTGTCTCGTTGCGGTCTCTGACCTGTGCAGATTCTTCTTCCAGTCGCCTCTTCTCGTCCTCAGAGTCCACCAGCTTCTGTTTGGTCAGCAGCAACTCTTTATTCAGGGCGTCTGCCTTCTCCTCAGCCTGACACACACAAACAGGACAAAATTAACCCACGAGGTCATTGAAAGTTACACTTTAGTGACACGATGCCTTACACACACTAATGTCATTTTGAGGTTGTGTAAATAAAGGTTATGCTACATTTATGTGTTTTTGTTGCACAAACACACTTGTGCCTGCAATCGTTCCTCATACAGAAGTGACAGCTCACACACACACACACACACACACACACACACGGCTTACGTTGTCGAGGTCTTTGCGCAGGGCTATCTTGCTGCTGACTAGTTCATGTGCCAGGTCGTCATTCTCCTGCTCCAAGCGCATGTTAGCCTCTTGCAGACGACGGTTCTCCCGCTGGAGCCGAGGGAGAGACGAGTAAAGGAGAAAGAGAGGACAACAAAGTAAAGATGATGAAACAAGAAAAAGGAGTGAGACACGAAAACATAGGAACGGAAACATGAAAGAGGAAGGAAAGTGAAAGTGAAGAGACGACAGAGCAGGGAAAATTAGTTAATCATGAAGAGTTTTGAAATGAATATGCAAGCATCTCTTCCTGGATCAGTGCCTCATTTTACAGAATGAGATGATGTTCCTGTAAAAGTTAACCGTGATCAGGTGACAGCATAATTATGAAGTCAGGTGTCTGTAATGTTTATGTGTGTGTGTTTGTCTTGCATAAGGACTTCCAAGCAAGTCTGTTATTGAAAATAGTGCACACATCCTCATTTCTGAGGACATTCTTTTCATTTAAATAGTCCAGCTCACTTTCATTCTGGAAATATAAGTCTCGTGTTTTCATAATAGAAGAAGTAAGTCCTTCTTAACGCTCTGATGTGCAGGATATATGCGCCTGAATAAAATGTAAACGAACAGGGAATTGCAATCTTAATTTGCTTAAACGTCTTAAAATGTTGAAAATATTGTAATCTCACTGATCCAACCTGACAGCTGTTAACTTTATCAAGTTGTGTATGGAAATCCTTATGAAGATCAAAAGTACAAACGTCTCAAGATACCTCGTTTGACATACAAAAATAAATGATATTGGTCTACGGTGTGTTTGAAGGAAGCAGTTCTTTAGAGCAAACAAAGCAGAGGTTCAGTCACTGTAATTGATGTGGTGGTGCTGGACACAACCGACCCGCTACCCTTGAAATGACTTTTGGCATGTACAGTTAATGGCTTTTTTGGTGCCATGTACTTTTTCTCTCCTAAACAAGGACTGTCAAGGTCTACAGTGTATAAAAAAAAAATATATATATATATATATATATTCTGTTAAATGGAATCTCTGGAGTCAGAATATGGTGGTGGTTTTAACTTTATGTATTTTTACAACATGCATTTCATTATCTACACCAAAGAGTGGATAATGTTGTGAATCGAATGGAATACTTACATTATAGTTACTTTATTAACTAAATACAAATTAAGACAACATTTGTTGCAAGGACAGGGGTATAAAGAATCCTAAACCATATCAGAGTTGCCGATATAGCTTAATAACTTAAGTTTCTGTTCATTTTATGGAGAAATTGTTGCTATGTTATTATGTACACAGGTGAATATGTTGTGCTTATGTCTACCTCGTATCTCTCGATGGGGGCCTCCTGTTGTTCCTGTTGCTCCCTCAAGGTGTGGTACTCCTTCTCAAATTTCTTCAGCTTTTTCTGGCTGATCTGTTGGGCAGCGAGAGCAGAAAAACAAACAATGTTTGGTACTCATCAACTATATAACAAACACACACACACACAAAGAATTACACTCATAATTGCAATTTTACCCATGATGACAAGAAAGAAATAAACTAGCCCGTTAGTAATTGGCTCGTGCACTAAAGGTGGCTGCCAGTGAAGAATCTTTACCATCTTTTGTAAACAAACACACAAGATTGATAAACTCGATTGGACTGAGAAGCCGTTTAGTTCAGTCCGGCATTTGAATAAGATGAAGATGAAGACTTAAGAGATTACAGGCCCAAGTCGCTGCTGTTGTTTCTGTATGTTGGGGTATCACTGTCCACACAGTCCTCAGGGACAGTATGGTTGCAAAACGAGCAGAGTCAAAGGAACTGCTAACGTGTTACTCGAGGCAGGTAAACCTAAAGTTCACACTGTTTATCGCCTTGTGAACTGAGAACAAATTTCAGTACCCAGAGTTCAGGTTCGGTGCTACACTTCAGATCGCCCAAGCCAGCTAAACAGTGTCTGATTCAAACACTAACGCTTGCAGTGACATTCATGCCTAAAGATGCCGTTTACACACACACACACACACACACACACACACACACACACACCAACTCATCAACAGGCCTTTCACTGCCCAGCTGCTGCCTTCCATTGAGCTTTCTTAAAAAGAAGAGAAAACTACCATACAACCAACACTATGTGCATGATTCTCAGCATTAGAGAGACTTGCTTGTCCATTCTGTGGCTTTTAAAGCATCTTGTTACAGCTGCAGCATCAATGCACCGTTGGTCTGTGCATGCATGCCTGCATGTGCATGTTTAGCGTTATACAACAGTATATCAAGGGATCGAAAATCCTCTTCAGCACTCGTCACCTAATGATGGTGGCAGAACTGGGACAGAACATGTTGTCCCGCTCTAAGTGTGCCTCTGCATGCGTGTACATGGGAGACAGACAAAAGGAAGAAAAAAGTACAAGAGGTCATCCGGGGGCAGGAGTCCGTGTCATTTCTCATTATTTTTGACAGACAGCTGGAACGACAGAAGTTACTACTTAGAAAAGCAATTAAGAACACAGAGCAGCCACGGCTCTCTCAAGCACAGTCATCATTTATAAAAGACATCAAATATTTCTCATCTTACTAGCGTATTGTTAAAAAATATATGCTTCCCCTTCATCTCTAGAGCTGTAACTGTGAACACAATACCTATGCATGCATGCTCATAATGAGCTATGACGTAGACACAAAGAGATGGAAACTAAAACACACAGGAAACAATGGGAAAGTCGAGCATTCATGACTTTCATTTGAATCCCAGGGCGATTTGCATTTATTAACTTTAGAATTCGAAAGGTTGGCAGACAAGAAGAGACAGTAGGTGTAACGACTACACGCTGAGAGGACGTTAATGACACTAGTTTGACCCCGAGTGTCTCCTGAATACATTTTCTGACCCGACTGTAGTTTCCAACTGTGTTTGCCGCATATTCGCTTCAAAATTATTCAAATAAGTATGACCTCTGACTACAATTACTAAGTAAAGTACTTTAAAGAGTTTTTCCTCTTCATGCCATCTACTAGAACTAACACAGGCACTCCCATTACTGTACGATGGTGTATCCATATCTCAACTAACTAACTGATTCCATAACTTTACAATTAGTTACACTTTTGGTTCCTCCTCTGGAGATGAGATCACTTTAAACTAGATTCTGCTTTTACAGTTTCGTGCTTATTCTACCATGAGGGTGATGAAGATGGGGAAGAAGGACCAGGATGTTTGACCTTAACCTCTGGCACATAAATAAAATATATTGAACACATGTAACCAATAGAGGTCTCCATCATTTTGTGCTTTTTAGCATCAAGGCGTGCATGGATACATCCCACGGTAGGCCATTCAAAGATAATAATCCAAAGTTTAAATCCTGTTTACCAGCTCCACCATTGTCGTACTCACTGAGGTCTAATGACTTCATGGAATTGTTTTATTTTGCCACATAATGTGCTGGAAATAACTTCTTAAAGCAGGAAATTGTAGGTCACTTTTGCACACATGCAGGCATTTCATTCAAACAGGTCCAATGCATCGCTGAAAACAAAAGCAGAACTAAGCGCGACTATGAGAACCAAATAGCTAAAAACTTTCCCCATGTGTGCTGATTTATATCTCTGCCCAAAGTTACTTTCAAAGTCAGGCCCTCTGAATTAAGCCAGTCTGTTCAAAACAGGTCAGGACACAGGTGTGTGTGTGTGTGTGTGTGTGTGTGTGTTTAAGACACAGACAGGAAGAAAGAGGTGTGATGGTGTGTGTGCTCATTGCATCTGTTAAACTTGATTTAAAGTTCAAAAGTGGCCCCTACTGGTAGATAAGTAGCACTGCTAAAGTTTTCGTTTTCACCACCGTTTGAGGTTTTCTGAATATCTTAAAGACCATTAGCTTAACCACATAATGGAGTTGCATATATTTCTATTCTTACTCAAAACTAAAATGAGGTTACTAACAACCCTTTGAATGCATTAAGACAGAGCTGAACCTGAAGTGTCAGAGGTTTGAACTGAGACTGTTTTCTATTCTTTGTTTTACTCTAAACTCACCTTAATGCTACAGGCCAGCTCCATCAGTTTCTTTGCGTTTTCCTCAGAGCGGTACCTCTTCGGAACCGGCACACGGAAGAATTTGAGTGCACCCTCGAAGTCCGTTTGGATCAGATCGTCTTTTGATGTCTGAGGAAAAGAAAGATGGTGGACACGTAAAGAAACCCATACACACAACCTGGAAGAGCCTGTTTGGTTGACACTTCTTTTTTTTTTGCAACATGAAGCAGCACAATCCTCACTGATTGACACACATTTCTGAACTAGTTATGATAAACAATTTTAAACCTTTCTGTTTCTACTCAGACATGTGGTTGCAAGTGGTGTTCTGTGTTTGGGCTACCTTACCTTTAGTAATGCCAAGGCCACATTGAAGATCACGCTGATGCCCTGAAAATAAAGACACATATTTCATGGCGTGTTAAGGAATTAGAGGAACTGTAAGTCCAAAGAAATACAAATAAAACATGGGTTTAACTATTTTAAAAAAGGAGTATGCGCACAAACGGTGCATACCACCTTATCTTAAAATATTATTTGCCAGCAATGGACACACAATACTCAAGAATAATAATAAAGGAACATTTCCAGCTTCGTTAAAATGAAAGAGAAATGTATAAACTACGACTACATTAAGTGTTGCAGTTGCTGCTAATACTTGCAGTGTCTCCTACTCTTCCTGGTGGATTTTTTTTTAGCAGTGCTGTCAGACTTCATCAGAAGTTGAAAAACTACAATCTTAACATCTCTCCACAGAGGTCTGGGATTTGGCTGACACTCCACTTTTCTTGGCTTGGACCACCATGCTGAAAGGTCACTCTTCCCCTTGGTCTGACGCTGTGTGTGATTTGAAGCAGCTTTTTTCCTTTCTGTAATCGGGTCTGTCCATCATCACAACAGCCTCCCAGGTCCTGCTGCTGTGATGCATCATTACAGAATCATGGGGGCCCTGCATTATTCAGCTGATTAATGGGGCTTGGTCTTCACTAGATGTAGAGCTTAACACTCAGGACAAAAAACTTTCTCTCATCAGACAAGAAATGATTTCCCCCCATGCTCTCACAGGCCTTCAAGTAGATGAACTTCTTTTATAGACTTTGGCCAAACAGCCAGCTCTTGGAAGAGTGTTCATTGTTCCAAACTTCATTATTATCTTAATTCCTGGAGGCTTTCAGTGCTTGAATTTGAACAAATCTGTAAACAGCTTCCAGCGACAGCGCATCAAAATAAACAGGCGGTACATGAGCTCCGCTTAGAGTCAGAGCAAAGGGTTCCTTAGAATACAGCTGTATTGTATTTAAAATACCATGTCATTGTTTACTGTATTACTGAATTTCAGCGGGGGAAGTTGTGTTGTGGGTTATTACCAACCTCACACAGTAGCAGATCAATGATATGGAAGACCATGTAAAGAGGGAACTTGGCTGTGAAGAGGGTGAGGAACCACTGAGAGGCATACATATGGGCCTCCAGACCCACATTCAGGAAATGGTTGTACAGGTCTGGGATATATTCCTGTTTAAGAGAGAGAGAGAAAGCAAAGGAGAGACAGAGGGGGAGAAAAGGAATAAAGAGACAGGAGCACAGAGAGGTAGGAGGAATGATGAGGAGGGAAGGAACAAGGAGAGAGGTAAATTAATAGATGTAATAAACACAAAAACCAAAAAAAAGCAAAGTGGCACTTGTCAGAAATTAGACCAACTGTACGCAAACTAACATCTTTTCAGCCTGATTATGAGTGAACACAGTGAGATCGACCACTGCTTTGGTGTCCATTCAGAAAAAAACTTCAGATCAGCAAATGAAACACGCATACCTGCATGAGCCTCTCAAGTTGGAAGAACTTGCAATGCAGGTCTTCAAAGTTCTGCTTGAAAAGGTCCCGGAGCCCGTAATCAAACATGATCTTGACCAGCACACTGAACGCTTGCTCCTCTGGCATCTGAGGAAGACGACACAGAGGTTTAGTAATTAGTGCCTCCACAGGTTTCAGGTGAGGCTAATACAACACTACCTGAGTGTGTTATATAACTCCTTATGATGTCGCTTTACATATCTCCCTCTGTCCATCAGCTTATAAAAGACACTGACAGTGTCTGTCCACTAGGTGGCAGTGTTGGCATGTTACAGGGAAGCCTCTCCAGCTTGGCAAATTACCATGAACACATTATATGATATTTATTAAAAAATATATATGTCAGTGGCCAACAGATACCAGCTCACATCTGCAATCTTCCTCAAACTGTTTCGGTGCAGTAACAGTACATCGTGATATCATATCCTACACTGAATATACTACAGACAAGTCTCTAAGCCAATCCCTCCGGCACTGCAGAATATCAAAAATATACAGATGTCAAAAGAAAAGAAAACAGTTGGACCCTGCTGATGGGTGAACTCACGTGCAGCAGCAGCACAGCAGCCAGGAAGGATTGTCCCTGGCAGTAGCCGATCTCCTCATCGTAAACAGAGTAAGCCTGAAGGCGAGGACAAAGGCAAACGGGCACGCAGTTAGTAAATCAGTTTCATGGTGAATTCAAAAATTGATGCGGGTAATTAAATGATGATGAGATCTTATTTTTATTTTTTATTATGGGGTCCAGCGAGTGAATAATAACTTTGTTTTTGCCACTGCAGCCTGTTGCTGATGATCCAATCCAAGATTTTTACATGTACATTAAACAATATTTATCATTTCAACACAGAATCAAATGATGAAATATATTGTGAAAGAGAGAAGAGCAGCTGAAGTAGAAAACCAAAATATTTTTCCTTAGGAGTTGGCAAACCGGCCCAGGGCAAGATCAGTGTCCGTAAATACTGAACTTATGCCTGACAGGAGGTAAGAAATATGGCTTAAGCTACGCTGGAAGCTTAACACGGCTTTAAATAAACCGAAGAAAATTAAACAGTTGAGAAATTACACACACCCACCATCATCATATCAGTCAAATATATAATGTATGAAGCTTTTTTAACTCACAGCAGACTTGTTGGGCTACAGAGCTCCTGAATTATATTGCACAAGCTGTTTAGAGTGATACCTTGTTGTTTTTATTCCCTTCTTGAACATCTAAAGTCTGTGACGTTTTTTTTTTTTGGCAGTAAAACACGACATACACGAGGGAAGCATCTGGAGTGAGGGACGGAGAAAAAGAAAAAAATGACCATGAGATAAAGTTGTGAAAAAGACGCAAGGAAAGGGAAGAGGAAGAGAGAGATGTTGGTGCTGAGGAAATGGAGTATGAAGGGAGGGAGCGAGGGACAGTTTGGAAAAGGGGCTGTAGTGGCCTACTGAGCTACAAATAATGAGTGCAAGTCAAACAGACAGTGTGGATCAATCGACACACAGAGGAAAGGGAGGGCCCGCTGAATTATTCAAACGCACTGAGGAGGCAATTGTCTGGGAAACAGATGGATGCCCTCACCTGAGTTATACATAATGAATAACAGCAGTGACCAAACTACAGCCATGTTCATGTGGGATTATGGAACTATAGGTCGAAAATGTGCATGTGTCCCAGCTGTAAAGACAGCAGCGGGACTTCACCATCACGCCGGTGTGTGAGAGTCAGCTGTGCAGCAGGAGTCATTATATTAGAGTGGTGTGTGTGTGTGTGTGTGTGTGTGTGCGCGCGCACACGTTCGTTCGATTAGAAACTGTATTTCGAGACAGGCAGTGGCTGTTTGTGAACTCGCTGAACCACCCAGAAACAGAGCAACTGTTCAGTTAATTACTAAGCAGTTCCCTTTAGCGCAGACATCTTTCACTACTGCGCTGAAAACTTTGTTACGTGACCAACTGTAAAGCCAGTCCTTTACACAGTAAATATGCTGCACACCAGGGGAACATGTGATTCTCTTTCACATGCAGAATGCTAGAATTGGTTCGAGCAAAGAACACCAGTGCCAACAAAAAGAACAATTGTTGGTGATAATGAGGTTGTAAATATTTACAACAAACCCCCAAGAAGATAGAAGTTATACGGTATTAATTAATCCGTTCTTCACTTTGAAGAATGGAATTCTTGGAATGGTAAGAATTCACATTTGCTTTATCCACTCATCCATTTTTCTCCAAAAATGCCCTCTGTTGACTTTAAAACTGTAATCTAAACACCCTCTTGCATGGGTGTGTGTCCCACCTTGCAGATCTTGTAGAGGGAGTCTTGTCCATCTCCTCCGGTGTCTTTGAAGTAGTCATGAGCCGGGAATGTCCTGTTAATGTCCCTGGTAATGGCACTGTCCTGAGGAGACTCCTAATAAAGAGACAAAGGAGGAGGGGGGGGGGGGGGGGGACAAAAAGGTCACAGTGAATGAAAAGAAGTGGTGTGTCACTCAGAGGGAGAGGGAGATTCAGTCACTTAAGATCCACAAGGAGATTTATTAGACAACCACCAGCAGCGGTCATGTGGTGGCAACACACTGCTGAGATTTACAGTATAGGTCAAGATGAATTACTGGCAGCACAGAGTGTTCTCTTCTACAGAACAAACTGTACGCATCTCCCTGTATCTTGTCTATTTGTAATCAATTTGAAACTTGATAAGAGATTCTTATGTTGCAAACGCTTACCTACGCTAACAATAGTTACTAACACAGTTCTGACAAACTGTAACAAAACAACAGGAAAGGAAATGTGACCGAAGACATCGTGTAGCACGACATGATTTGCAATCAGTGCCGAGAACTTCAGAACGATATCAACAAGGAGGTCGTGTGATAAAAACAAAAACACTGTTCTGTAAAACAGCAGGCCGATAAGAGGGTGTTCGGCCTCCATCGTCACACCGTCTACCAACACCACAATCAAATGTTACAGACCATCAGCACTATAACAACAAAGGTCATGGCTGTACTCTGTCCCGCAAAAAAATGGGTGCGATTCGTATTTGGGCTGAGTGGTGCGACGGGCTGGAACAAGAACAAGTGTCTACAACTATGCTTCCAGCTTTGTGAGACAGCAATATTTTAAGCTAACATGCTAATGCTAAGCAAGTATTGTCGCTTGTTGTCACTAAACACAAAGTACAGGTGAGCATGACGGGTATGGCATTAGTTTTGAAGGTACAGAATAAATAACTAGACATATTAACGTTTTGACCCGATAATTTGGCGATAGAGTAAAGTCTGAATTATTATTACAATTCACCCTGAAAGGAACATAATGTTTTAACAAAATTACATGATAATCCACCCAGTAATGGTTGAGATATACAGCACACACACACGGACACATACACACACACGTAACTACTCTACTAACAAAGATTAATCACCCCTCATTTCATTATTGATGCTCTGCGTATTTGGAACAAAAAGCCTCTAAATAAGTAATGTTACTCCAAGACACCCTGGGCATTACATGACGACTCAAATACACATTTTAAGATATCTTCACAGTACTTGGTGGTAAAGTGGCTCTGAAGTGGACACCGCATGTTGTTTAATACAAAGATGGGGCATTCATTAAACTTTGAATCAGAAATCCGTTTTGTTCTTCTTTGTTTAGCCTGGTGCTGTGACCGTGCTCTCTACCGTCAGTGAATAATGAGACAGTCAGCAAAGGCAAAGAAAGGTTTCCTGTAACGGGTGTAGTTAGGACCCAGGAGCAGTACGACAACACCAGGACTGGTATGATTTGAGTTCTTTATTTGTAACACACGACAGGCAGAAGATTCTCTGGAAGAATCCGACAAGTTTCTCGTGGTCAAGGACAGAAGGGCTGAGTAAGTTACCAGGACAGAGGAAAGGCGAGGCAGTCTGGGACAGGCAGGGTCGGCAACAGGGAATCAGTCCATGGGTGAGTGCGGGAAAGTTGAGCATGAATGCAAAGAACGATCTGGCAGTGAGTGTGTCTGAGGCAGGGGTTTAAATAGTGAAGAGGCAGAGTGAGCAGGTGAGAGTGATGAGCTGAAGAGGTGAGTGTGACTGGCAGGTGCACTGAATGAACTAATTAGGTGAGTGAAAGGTGGATAGAAGTGACAGAGCTGTGACATTTCCATTCGTCAGCGGTGAGTAACAATAATGCCTCGCCAAGTTCATGAGAAAGGAGCACATTAATGTGATACTCCATTGATCAATGTAGGGAAATGTTCCACTACACATTGGGATGTTAAAAAGTACTCCTTTGAGTTTTTCAGCATCCTGTGCCTTGCTCAATGGCACTTTTGCAGGATTACCATCAATTCCTCTCGGGGTGCAAAATCCCAACTAAGAAACCCATCCTACACCATGGCCCACATGGATGCAAGTTAAAACAGAAATCCCTGAATTTAAATACATTTTTTGTTTGTGTTTTTTTTTTTTTTTTTTTTTTAAATCTCTTGTTCTCTTTGTAGCTAATTATACCTTATTGTTCTCTCTGTTACTGCACCCATCATGTCCTTCCCTCTCTTTCTTTCAAAGGGTTCTATTCCAGCTTCCACAGGAGGAGGAAAGTCAAACCAAAATAATATAAGTAGAAGAAGAAATGCAGGAAGAAAAGAATAGTAAAACAAAGTGAGGTAATGGGGATCAGAGACCGACAACAGGGGGCTACTCCACAACTTCCACCACACCCTGTACGTCATAGTTACTGTGTGTGTGTGTGTGTGTGTGCACAGCCAGCTAAACTAGATGCTTAGGGAAATTTCAGTAGTGATGATTATGAGTGTAACAGTTCCTCTGTTATATGGTTGGTGTTTATTACTATGTTATTATATTACACCCAAATGGGGAGTCCTGCAACACACTCTGTATAATTCTAATTTACAAACTGGTCTTTGTCATATATTACTGTAAACTGAGTGTCTCAACAAAACCACACATTTGAAGACATCACCTCGGGCTCTGGGAAGTAGCGAGAGGCATTTTTGTACCATATTTTGACATTTCATAGACCACATGATTAATCGATTATTCCAAAAAAAAAAAAAACACAGGCACCCTAGAAATCTTGATCTTGAAATTGGTATTGATGCAATTTTAGAGCACAGGGACAGAGCTTCTGCTACCAGTGTGAAGGGCCCATTAAACTGGGCTGCAGTCTCTCAGTGAATGATAAGGATCCATGTTTATACAAGCACCACTTAGCCATACTTATCTGGAGTGCTGAGAGCATGTACAAAGACCTCTGACATAACGGCCAATTAGCTTCCTTTCTGTCCGTCTATTCAGTTAAAGTGAGGATTGGAATGAGGGTAGCGTGAGAGGGGACAGAAAACATATCCAGTGTCTCATGATTGTGGACAAAGTGTGAGAGCAAGTTCAAGCAATTAAGAGAGAGAGAGAGAAGAGACAGATAATGCTAAGAATAGTGTATCTCTGTGGAAATGTATAAAGAAGACAGTGAAAGGTGATGACATAAATAGTGGCGTAGCTTTAATTGACACTTGAGCACTTTAATCCATATTTATAATCTGCAACAAGAATATGGCTGCTTTACAAAGAGCAGTGCCTGTGGTCAGCTTGGGTAGTATAGAGATTGAATAGCATAAGAGATAGCATTAAGACTGGAAGCAGCCTGCAAAATACGTTCTCAAACAAAGTGTAAAAACACTAAGTTGTGGTTTTACGGGGAGTTACGTGCTGTTAAAACTGGAGTGATTTCCAGGAGTGTCGACTGGCTGCCTTGTAACCTCACAGTGATGACAATTCTGCAGCTGGAAGTCACTGGGATCTGCTTATTGGGGCGCTTTAAAGGTGCTGGAAAGACATGCGTTTGAAGTTAACATAACTGGGCTAGCTTTCCCCCGGCCGTTATGCTATGCTAGGGCAATCGCTCTATCTCCATACGAGTTACTTTCAGCAAGGCTTCACACACACTTGTTTAATGAAACACTGTAAAGGAATATGTCGTAAGGTTAAGTTGAAAACTGTGAGAAGAATGTTGATAAAACCATACGAGACTGAATGTTTACTGCAGAGGAGACATTTTATGCTGGGACGCAGACCTTTTTTTGAAAAGTTACAAGCCATGAGTCTAAACAAGTACCCGCTATTTTCGTTCAACAGCAACTATGGTGACAGATATGAAACCAACTGCAACAGTTAATTTTGTCCAAACTGTCCTAACGAACACTACAGTATGAATGTGTCGACGCACTGTCTACGGTCAGTGACACTGTAGGGAAATCAAAGAGCATCTTTAAACTGAATGGAACGTATTATATTATAAACATATAGTAAAAACTGTTCACTGGGGGCAGAGGTACAGTGTGTGTGTGTGTCTGTGTCTGTGTGTGTGTGTGTGTGCGCGTGTCTAAAGCTAGGAATAAAGTACCGGAGTAGGGCTTCCGTGGGAAGGCTGAGTAGCTAGCCTTCTATTGTTTATGTCCCTGATTTTCTCTGACTCAACACAAAGGCTGACATGTCATTCTGTTATTCTTTCTCTGCTCCTAAAGGACTCTGCTGAGATGCCAAGAGAACACAGGGTGATACTTATCAAGCCTGATACAAACCTCGCTACCCAACACAAAACAACCCTGAGAGCTATACTTTCAATATATTACTGGATTCAGATTTCATTTATAGAAGAAACAGTGAATGTGACATTAACTTTAATGCTTAGTAGAGCCTTGACAGCTGCTTTCATCGCTAACAATTGAGATGTTTACTTCCTTTATTAACAAAGCAAATAATAATAGTTTAAATCTGTAATTTCTTTACAATAATGTGTAATGGACACAGCACGTGTTTAAGCTACCCGTAGCGCTGTTTCCTCACCTTGGCGTCATCCATCATTAAATCTTAATCGTCTGTCTCATGCCCTACTTTTTGTGCACTGGTAAGCAGCTTCGGCAGAAGGAGAGCAGGGACAATATGCATCTGATGAGGATGGAGACGACAGAGAGGAACGTACTTTAGTGGTGAATACTTAAAGACGTTTCACCTGCGAGAGGGTAAAGAAACTGATGATAAAAGAAATGGTGTCCACCATGCCTGTGTTCGTTGCGAGGCAATTAGCACAAGGAAGTTTAAATACATTGAGATAACATTACATTTATTTGCACAGTACAGATACACAACATGTACACGTTTTAATACCATATAGGTGTTTCACCTACAAAGCATCGTGTAATGAAATAAAGAAATTCACAGACTCACTTTCATGACAGCAATATCAAACATGTTTGGCCTTTTGCATTACCCAAACATTCTCCAACTATAAAAGCACACATCTTACAAAAACCTTATCCCAAACTCAACACCCATGACGCATGAAATATGACGTAGTTTGTCCGGATCTGTACAGTAATAGCTTCATTTTTCTCAATCTGAATTTTACAGATGCCCCATTGTTGACTGTGAGCAATTTCCAGCATTCATTGTGTACAAAAATCACACGCAGAGATAAATTCCTTCCTCTTTTGGGACGTTTCCTCAATAAGGTTTTGTAACAGTGTTACTCAGAACAGATTATTGTCATGAATTGGTCATGAATTGGCCATTAGTGGGAGTCTGGTGTGGTGTGTGTGTTAAAGTGCACTACAAGAGTGAGGCTGTACTGCCCATTCAGCATACCGTCTACTCTAAGATACAAGAGCCAACCAATATTCAGTTGGCGTAAAATGCTTTTGTATTGTTTTTTTCTTTTTGGACAGAGAATGTTCAAGATAAAAATGTGTGCCTCAAAATCTGTTTTGTAGGTTATTTTAAATAAGGTGTTCTGTATCTGAATAAAATCAAGATACAGTTTCTACAAACTTAATATTTACATTGATCCACATGTACAGTAGAATACATACGGACTATGCTTGCTCCCGGGACAGATTCACATCTGGGTAGCCCCAGTTCTAAAAGTAGCGATGCAACTAAAGCCGTTTGCCAACCACACACAATGCCAGAGGACGAAGAGGAAGACGAAGCAGCAGCCACCTTCTAATGTTTCAGGACAACTCGTAAAAGGGCTTAAAATGAAATAAAATGACTCTGGAAACACAAAAAAAAAAGTCATTAAGGAAGCTAGGAACCATTGATATTGTATTTATATTTTACCTGAAAAACCCTATCTGCAGACAGCCTTCCAGTGTTTAACTCATTTTAAATGACAGGAGACTGTATTTAACCGACAGATAGATTTCTAAACCAGCCGGTGTCCACATTCCCTTGCTCTTTCTAATCCTACCCAACATGGCGCCGCACCTCGACACAACCACCACCAGAGTGGTATTCCCTTGAGAACATCTTTTCATCTTTCCTCAAATTCAAAAGTTATCTATTTACCCAAATCGCAAAAGTCAGTAGAGAGAGCTTAACAGAAAATGGTCAAGTAAAATAAAATGCATCCTTCATCGAGACTCCTTTCAATAGAGAAGCATGCTACTAAATCTAATTAAGAGTTCACAACTATGTCATTTTACAAAGATAAAAATTTCTGTAGCAACACGCAGACATTCAATTCGCCATTTCTGGACATGCCGTTTCTGTAAACGTCATTTCTGAACAAAAGACGGTACAAATAGGAACAATGCTTCACAGATAACAGCCAGCCTGTATAAATACGACATGTGAATCTACCACCACTGTACTTCATACTCGCATGCACTCACAAAAATACAGTATACTCGAGGGGAGTGATGTGCAGCTAACAAAGCAATGAAAATCTGTTAGCGCCCTCGCTGGAACACCGTAAACAGTCAAAATCCTAACATACCCAGACACACACGAACAAATAAATTAGAAGGCAAAAAAATAACAGTTTCGAGTAATATTTTTTAGTGAGGCTGAATTTTCTTAATGACAAACAAATGGGGCTCAGGTTATCATGTACTGAGTGTGGAATCAAGGCTGGCTAACGTACGTATCCAGTCTGTGCCGTTCCCTCTAAAAAGTCGTGGGTCTATGAATGAAGAAATGTGAGGAAAATACTCTCCCCCAACACGTCATGTTCATTTGTATATCAAGGCAACAATATATCACTATATGCTGAGAAACAGCCATATTCATGCAACACAAGGCATCCCCTGTGCCAATACAGTGGACCTACACAAACTCTGTGGAAAACGCATTTGCATTTTACTAAATCACCTGGTATTAGATATTTTTGTTTAACTTTCTTTAAGTTAGACGATCTGCACCGAAATAAACGGTGACGTGGTTCAAAATAGTGACAATATTTCACAATTTCTGAGTGGAGTGCAGTATGCACACTTGGATTCATTTCAGCTTATTATTGGTCTGATAAATGTGTATTAAATATCAAGTTAAGAGTGAAAAGAACCCACAAAACTACTCATGGGGACAAGTGGACGGACTACAACACATGCTTGCACAAAGACGCTGACGTACACGCGCGCACGCGCACACACACACACACACACACACACACACCTGAACCTCGGGGAGTTGAGGGCTCAGTCTTCTTCCTGGTGCTGTAAAGAGGTCAGAGTTTAACCAGAGGTTAGCCTGCTGGCAGCAGAGGGAATGGGCTATGTGTCTGCTCTGTTTACATTTGATCCATAGGTGTTGGTGTGTGTGTGTACACACACAAGTCCCCTAATACAGGCACAATAATGCCGTCACAGCCCAATACACCTGGAGCACTGCCCAGTCGTTTTGGCTGAGTGCAGCTGAGAAGCTTCTAAAAAGAAATTCAAATTGAACAGAACAGAGCAGCCAGATTAGTTTTTATTGTTCAGTCCGTGCGAACGTGTGAGTCAAAACAAAGTGTTTCTTCTTCTTCTAGAACTTCTTCTGCTTGGAATATGCTCCCCACCACATCAGACAGACTGAAAGATTTTCTTTCAGAAAGTCACTAAAACAAAAATGGATGACTCATATAGATGTTATTTTGGTTTGTTTTAGAATCCTTTTGATAGGTTTTACTATATTGTATTAGTGACTATTTTGTTTTTGTTTCCATTGTAGGCCACCATTGTTTATTGTTCCATACGCAGAGCGGTTATCTCCTGATACTTACATTTGGTTTGTTTTGTCTTTTCTTGTTTTAGTGACAGTTTGATTTAAAATTGATTTATATTGTTATTGATTGTTTTGTGGACTACCAGGAAGACAAGCGACCTCTTTGTGGAAGCTAATGGGGATCCAAAAAAAGAATACATACAGCATAAAGTACGCCTAGATTTTAACACGGTAATTATTCGCAAGAATATGTAATTATGAAATCTTCACAATTGCATGTTTAAGACCGCTCAACCAATTAACAAAGACAAGGGGTCAGGATCACAGTTCAAGGGTCATTTTTCTAAGAGTTTAACATTTTTCTTTGATCAAAGCCTTAAAAAAATAAAAAACAGTCCAATGATGTACCAACAATCAGTGTAAAATAAGCGAACAAATACATCCTTTCTTAGACTCGCTTTACCTTGGGTAGTTATGAAATACATTTAGTTATATAATCAAAACAACAAAAGTGCAATGAAACTGACAAGATTTGAAAAATTGATTGAAAGATAAATTCGATGAAACTACCGTTTGCTTTTTGTTCAGTTAACAGACGTACAACCGAGATGGGCAGCATCAACATAGAGGCACAACAAATACACAATACACAAACACACTGCTGCATCACTTTAAGTATTCAGATACTGAGATGGGTAAGAGAAAGTCAAAACACATTTAAAGAACTCTCTATTGGCAGTTCACCTCAGCGTCACATTACTTAAAAAAACAGCAGTCAACGTTCGTTCCGTTTGCAACCATCCTGATTATCTGGCAACAAAAGGTCGCATTGTTCAACTCACAGCTTTTCACAACACTTTTCTTGCAACGTTTTGTTGTTTTGGCAAAATAAGTTATAAATCTCAGAAAACTTTAGGATGCAAATGTTCTACCTCAAACGAGTTCATTTCTCAGACACCTTTTTCTGCTCCTTTCCAACAAGTAAGTATTCTGAGTTTTCTTGACCATTTTTAAAAACACCTTGCATGGCTATTTGTGCCTTTTCTCCTTCAGCGCTTTGCTCTCGACTCCTTTCCTCTGTCTTTGCCAGCTGTGGAGTGTGCAGAGAGGACGCCTGTGTAACCTCCAAATGCGACAGAGACAGCAGTGGCAGATCAACGGCTCCTTCCACCTCTTTCCAGCACATTTAAGCTTCAAAAGAGGCACTCACATCAGGCATCTTTTAACCAGTTCAAATGCTAATTTGGCACGAGGGTTTCCTCTCTTGTGTGCTCTACACGTGACATGTTGTGCCGATTCCTATTTCCCCATGACCGAATCCATACCCAGTTCCTCCACATCCTTTTTCGACAGAACCAACGAACGCCTTCTTGGTGCTCCTAACCCCAAAGCCACTACTGCCACTGCGCTGCAAACAGAAGGAGCAGAGGCGTTTGAGGCCCTTCCTGAAGGCAGAATTGGAGAGACTGTAGATGAGACAGTTACAGAAGCTGTTGCTGATGGCGAGCCATGTGGTGAAAAATGAGACGGCAGGGTGGTGGTAGATCCCACCGCTCTCCAACAGAAAGTAGACGATGTAGGGCAACCAGAGGATGTAAAACACGCTGGTGATGCGGAACAGTACCATAGCGTATCGCTTGTCTGGGTAGGTTGACGTGGGCTGCTGATACTGTGTTTGGGATTTTTGTGGTTGGGACAAGTGGGACAACTGCCCTTGCTCTACTGCACTGCCGTCCTTGACGGCCAATCCCACCGTCGATCCCGGGCCCTGCAGCTGTTGGGGCCGGTAACGTGCGTGGCGCTCGCTGATCTCCCGGGTGTGCTGTCTGCAGATCTTGAAGATGTTGCCGTAGGTGAAGCAAACCGTGAGGGCAGCCGGGGCGTAGAGCAGCGCGACTATGAAGGTCGTGAAAGCCGGACTGGTCCTCCACTCGACCGCGCACCACTCCACCACATCCCCGTGGTAGCCAGGTTTCCCCCAACCGAGAAACGACGGGAGAAACACCAGAGCGGAGTACAGCCATATCAGAACGATGCAGCATCGCACTCGACAAGGTGTCACCAGGGAGGCGTAAGTCAGAGGCCGCATGATGGCAATGTAGCGGTCTACGCTCACGCACGCCAACGACACCATTGAAACCGATTTCAAAACGGACACCATGTACCCGAACACCTGGCAGGTGAGTTTGGGGTCGAGACCCTGGAGGTGATGGAGGAGGGACAGCGAGGGGAACAGGCAGCTGACCCCCACCAGCAGATCAGCGTACGCCATAGTCTGGATGAAAGCACTGGTGGTGTGCTGGCTGAGCAAGGGGGCGCAGTGAAACACAAAAATCACCACCAGGTTACCAGAAATAATGAGAACAGTGAGAAGACATATGATGGAGACTTCAAGGAGGCAGGTGGTGAAAATTTGGGAATAGCCTATCGCAAGTAGGCAGAAGGGAGCGGATATGTTTGACGGGTCAGCGGAGCTCTGGTTCAGTGGATCCAGGGAGGAATTCATCGTCTTGGGCTGGAATATGTGTCTCGGGGGCCCTTCGAGGGTACGGGGATCCGAAGAACCCACTATTTTGACAGGCAACTGGCTGGTTCTGAAAGGAGCTGTGTGGTTTCAGTCCAAACAAAAAGCTCCATGCTTCGGTTCCATGATGAGCCGGCTGCCATCTGCCATTTCAAATGCAGGAGGGATGGAAAGGACAGAGAAAGGTGAGAAGCCCCCCAGGGTTTGTCGTCGGAGCGGGCAGTTGTGGTTTTACGAATATACAATAAATATACAAAACCACCAGCGTAAAAACAGACAAAACACACAAAAAGAAATGTTTGTATTCCTTCTCGTCTTTCCGGTTAAGCAAACTTCCCAGCTGAAGAAATACAAAATAAAAAGAATGAAATGTGACTTTGTTTAAAGGAATTCCAGTCCAATCTATGCTTGAAATGCCTCCGCTCCCTATAAAGTCAAGGATGTCTTCAACATCTGCTGCAGCTGCTGAAAGCACAGACTGAAGCTCTCTTTTATCTCTCTATAGTCCACAGAGTCACAGCTTCCAGGAAAAAGACATTACTGTGTAATGTGCCGTGTACATGAAGGAGACATTAAGCGTAATATCCCCTTTTTTATTCTGCCCGTCCTGCTTCTCTCTCCAGCTTCTTCTTCTTCTTGTTTCTTGCCTCTTTTCACTCTATGTCCACTTGCTCTTGTCTCAGTTTTCTGTCTGGTCCTTCGCAGTAAGATCACAGTGGACTGCCGTGAGCCGAGAGGATGAAGGCGGTGCGCAGGGTGACTGATATTTAAAACACGTACACACACACACACACACACACACACACACATACAATCACACCTCAGCTGTTGTTTCTATCCAGAGGAGCAGCAACTATGTCTGAACTGGATATGAGGTAGGCAGGCATACCGATGCTGGGAGAAACCCCCCGTGTTCATTTATCCTCCTTTGCTGTCTCTCCCTCTGCCTCTCTCTCTACAGAAACAGTGTCACTGAGGCCCCTCCCCTTCCCTGTGGCTCCAACCAATGATAAACTGTCAGGGCACAAGGCTTGCCTCCTTCCCCCACCCTCTCACCCCTTCCTGTTTCATTTATTTATTGTTTAATGGCAGTGTTTCTCATAATCACCCCAAGATTCAAACACTCTTTCACACTGTTCAAATTAGTAACATTCAGTGTTCGGGGCTCTTTTGACCGTCGACATCTCCACAGCCTCTCACCTCTTAGGGCATGTTGAGCTGTAAGAATGGACATTGTCTTTCTACAGTGCAGAAAAGTTATTGTATTTGCTTGCAGGAAGACAAAAACTGCATGCCTGGGTGCAGTTTACAGGAACTATTTCTATTATTAGTCTAATTGTAAACCAAGGACATACAGTACAAGGCAGCGGGTCCCCCTATAGCACTGTGTCTTGTGACTCCTTTACATACAGTATTCGCTTAATGCTGCACAAAGGTTATATAAGCTCTTATGTGTGCGAGTTTAAATTCTGCTTCTCTAAATAAAAAGCACAGAGACGGACTGTTAAAAGTCTTGTTATTTAAAAGAAAGAATCCATTAAGATGACCGTGTTACATTTTCTCTACTTGTTTGTTAAGGAAGCCATAACTGCATTTTCACTGGCTCCGAGTTCTTTTCAGGCTGGTACTCTATTGTACTTTGATCACAATTAATGTGTTAAATACATTTTAATTACTTTACTAATTTTCACATTTGTAAACTATTATTAATAAACAGCAGCCACATGAAAGCTTAAGAGACGGATTTAAATACATGAAAGCAAAGCGCAAGTAATTGAATTTGCGCACACAGCCTGTGTGTAATTACCAGCTGATTCACTAACACATCAAGTAATTATGCTATTAGTAACCGGGACTGCCTTCTAGGTGCAAACTGCAAGTGAAGGAGACATGGAAAGCTGCGATTCAATGTTTCAGCGAGTTCAGAGATGAAATGTAAAGAGGTGGAGATGCTAAAATTATTAATTTCCAAGGCCACTTTAAGTCCAACTGGGAAATGCTTTGCTTAAAAATATATCGGTTTGAACGGATTGAACGGATATACAGCAGGAAGAACCGCTGTAAAAAGGAAGCAATGAAAATAAATAAAACAATGTGCAATATAAATATGCTTATAGTGCGCTAGTCTAATTAAAGTTTAATGAACTCACAACAGCAACAAAGAGGGTTTATTATTAATACTTGAAAAAAAAAAAACATTCCATGCAATATGCCTTAAATACGTTACAACATCACACTCAAAAGTAAGCACATGCTCACACACAGTACTCAGTACTCGTACCTTTTACAATGTAAACCTATAACAATGGTGCTTACGTAATGTATCATTACACAAATGGCCTGCTTTCCCCCCCAAGGGTCTTTTCAGATATTTAAGTGGGTTTTAGTTGTTTCCTGCTTAACTATGCAACTCCATGTGTCTCTGCAAGGGCAAGATACACCGAGAGAGAGAGAGAGAGAGAGAGAGAGAGAGAGAGAGAGAGAGAAGCTACAACTGTATGGACACTTGTATAATAACACATATTTAGTACCAAGTGGCAACAACTTGTATTCTGAGAAGTAGTTAGTACCTAATGGTTGTAATAGAGCCAATGTACTACTGTATATGTAAGCAAAGTACAAGCAAGATCCAAACATTGTCAGATTGTATTATTACTTTTCATTTCACATGAAATTTGAACAGTAACTTTGCCAATGTTGTGTGTGCGTGTGTGCGCTCCTGATTGTGAATGCATCAGCAGATGCTGTGCCTCCACTTAGCAGTCAGCTATACCGAGGTAGCGTGACCTCTCCAGGCGTCTTTTAATCTTCCTCACGGGCAACATCAACTGAAAGATGTTTTCTTGCAGGGCTTTAAAGGACTCGGTTGAACTCTTTTTCCTTCAATTTTCTTAACCAGGTTATCCCTAACTAGTGTCCCTCCGTGTCCCTCAGCTGACTGTGCTAGAATAATCACCAACTCCGTTATTTTTAGATTATATGATGTGCCGATTCCATTTAATTACTCAGAATCATAGACACTTCAGTGGGCAGTAATCACCATCCTATGTAGTGCCGCTACATCCTCGTCCTAATGAGGATGTAGCGGCACTACATCCGAAGAAGAGTGTGTCTCAGGGAGGGCAATTTGGTGTAGCGTGGACACACACACACACACACACACACACACACACACACACACACACACACACAC